ACATTCAAAGATATCGATAAATGATCTAAGTCAATATAATGTGAGGATAAGTGCACCTATTTTTTTAGATCGATGTAATTCTCTCTATTTTGTTCGTCCTCTCTTTCTCCACTTACACAAACACATGTACATGCAACATATCAATAATAGTAAAAAAATAAGGTGCTATATGTTGAGAATACAAATACATGCTATTAATAACATTTTTGGTCAGACGAACACAACGGCATTAGCATGCACTTCCTGCACATGGTGGAAATGAAGATGGAAGGTCTGCTTCCACAGATTGGCGACTTGGTGTGGAATTCTATGGGAGGTATATAATGGCAGGCTTATCTTGAATGTTTCCTATAACAGATTGATGACATGGGGTCCATGACCTAGCCATGCCAGGAGAATTTTTATATTTCAAATTTATTATAATAATTTCCTTCCTGAGGAAGTTGAAAAGTTTTATAAATTATCATAGGCATCGGTTTTATATAAATACCCTTGTGACGAATAAAAAATCAATCTTTTTCATCACTTATCTTTTTCTATATAATATCATAGCAATGTTAGGCTTCTCTTTTCAACATTTGTATTTTCTCCTTTGTTCTTATTCTTCTCATCATGTCTATTTTTTTCTTCCTTTTCAAAGAGTTGACCATCATGAATGGTGAAAACCGAACTAATTCTATCGAAGGAGAATTCCAATGACTACATACTTCACATCTTTTGAATAAAAGAAACGGTCTAAATTGGTCTCAAATTGTGAAGATCTTTATGAAACAACAAAAAAAATCATTATCTTGTTAATCTTTCTATGGATCTAAAAGATCTAAAGTTTGCACTTTAGGATGAAGCAGATGTTATGATTATGCAATGGTTGTAGAACATTGTGATGTCTAAAATCAGTGGACCATACATGTTCCTAAAAATCATAACATTCATTTGAAGAGCTATCTAACAAACTTACTCAAAAAGTAAAGATATTACTCTTTAGATTAAGATGTTCTCAACAACCTAGCAAGGTAACCTCTTTGTCATAATATATTTCAATGTAATGATGGGCTATTCGGTAGAACTAGATTACTTTTAAGATCTCATGATAAATGTTGTGATGTTGATGCTTGCAGTTCTAAAACAATATGTAGAAAGATAAAATAATTGCACTCCTTAAAAAACTTTTTGGGTCATATTCTCTTGCTTGAAATAGTACAAATTCTAACTCATGTTTATTTTAATAAATCAAATAATTGCCCTAAAAATCTGCATACCAGATTTAGGAGTCATTTATTGTATGACAAACCTTGCAAATATTTTTCAAACCTTCAAATCTTTTCTCAACAATAGGAAAATAAAGTTAAATGATGGCTTCTTAAACATTATTGCAAGTCAAAGGAACGTTCCTATTTCCTCTACATTTGCTCTCAGCAATATGCTATATGTTGCTAATTTTACAATAGATCTTTTGTTCATTCATAAAATCACTAAAGATGACAACTACAATGTAATATTTTTTTACTAGCGATTGTTTACTTTAGGATTTTATTATGGGGAAGATGATTGGATAATCTAGATAAAAGTATTGGTTATACCTATTTGAAAATAATAATCACTTATCTTACTCCATCTCTATTCTAAATAAAGATATGAAGTATGGGTGCACTTATTTAGATTCTATTTGGTTTGTTTCTCTCTTTTCCTTTGCAAAAAAGTTTCTAAAACAACTTTGGAACCTCAGTAAACACCAAACCATGTTGGTTATTTACTAGCAATTTCAAAATTGATGTAGGATCACAATGTAGCTCACCTGAACTCTTTGCAGGAATTATTTAAAGCACTTTAACTAAGCAGACATGCTTTGATTCACCGTTGTAGCCAAAGCAAACTGTTCACTCCCAAGTTGCAATTGGAAGCAACTACATATTGTCTTATCTGTTTTGTTAAAGCCTGTAGATGCTTATTGGTAAGCTGTATTTAGTTTTTTTATTTGTTTTTTTGTTGCCATTTTCACCTTGGTTTGTTTTCATTTCCATTTATTTCTTCTTATATTAATTATGTTATCAAGCTAAACTTTATTAATTAAAAAGGGCTTGCCATAATATATAATTGTCTGTTGATAATGAAGGGGAGTAAAGGGCCTAGCTAATAAATGGTTATAGCTGAGAAAATATGGATTTATGTCTAACTTAGCAATGATATATAAATATTTAAGATCATTTATATATGGTGAAGGTTGGGGGTGTCAATTTGGGTTGACGGGCCCGATTTGGGTATGACTCAAAGTTAATATGCCCTGAGTTTGTTTGAATTGAACCCTATTTATTATATAGGTCAAAATATTTGACTCGAACATGTCTTTTGACCCAAACCTAATTTGCCTAATCCTTTTATGGTATGAATTATGCAAAAATTTGGATCAAAATGTTAGGTGGCGCTTGTTGGTAGAGATTAGCTAAATTAATAGGAACTTGAGTATTCTAATGATCTATGGATCAATATGGAATGGAATAGAAAAGCTAACTTATCATGAGATTTTCTTTAATATTTTTTAATTATATATAAGCATATATGCACGCTAAATAGTTAAAGTAAGAACTTGCTTGATTTACCATATTTTCTCATTTAATTAACTATGTTATTTCACAAATGGATTCGGCTTAGTCATTGAGGAAGAGCCGGGGTAAAGTCAAGCTCGTGTTACCTTTGATGTTGCCGTGGTTGCACCCTAGTTCCTATTGTAATAGGAGATTGGGGAAGAGTTGAAGTCGGCGATTAGAGATTTTCAAAGAGTCAAGAGAGGATGAGGAAAGAAATTGCGAAATGAAATTAGGGCTTTGCGAATTGCGTGAATTTCTGTGCATAGTGGGTGACTTACAATTAAAAATTAGGGAGAGTCGAGTGTCGACAAGTCACTTGCAGATGTGGGTTAATTTCAAGTTGATTTTGAATTTTCGGGTCAACTTAAACCCAACTTGAATATTAATTAGGTCCACTTCTTAGATTTGAATCGGGCCTGAATATTAATTGGGTCAATTTGAACATAAATATTTTGAGTCACATTCATGTTTTGTTATCATGTTGGGTCATTGATTGAAACTCCTAGTGAAGGTACAATAGTATATCATGTATTAAGAAGAACCCAAATAGATTGATGATATATAAATATAGATATGATGGTACTGTAGATTTGAAAGCAAATTAATTGGATAATCCCTCATTAAAAAAATATATATGAACAAAGAATATTATATTGAAACTAATTTGGATGTTAGAAGAACTACAAATGGGCTGCAATTTGCAGCAATCACTGATTAAATTGATACATGATTGATTGGGTTTAGGTTTTTTTTTCCAGTGTTTAATTATAAGCTAAATTATTTTTTTGGATAATTATTAGGATAGTTTGGGTAGGAAACATTTGAATTTAAATTCAAACTTATCTAGTTATCCCTATTTCTATATGGGAATTTGCTTTGTAATAAATTATCGATTTCATAAAGAAAATTATGCCTTGATTTTCTGACTTCTTCCACCCTTTTCTTTGAGTTTGCCATTTCTCTTTCCCTTTCCTTTCTTCTCTCTTTGTCTATCTTCCTTCTCTATTTTTCCCATTTTACTCAACATGAGTTTGGTATTACGATCTCACCAATTTGGTCTTGGCCTTACCCACCATGCATCTATAGTGACTTATTGCTGGCACAAGCTATTATTGCACAAACGATCATTTGTGCATTTAGTCCCTTGTTTGTTCAATCAACTCCATTTTTTTTTTTTTTGCTTTGTGCTCGACATCACATCATATCTATATGGAAATTTCAGTGCTTGATTGCACTCTACTATGAAATTCAATTTTTTTATTTTGCTAATCACCTACAATGCATCTTTTGTTGACTGTAGCAACATCGGCCAGCTTGCTGCTAGCTCAGCCTTCCTCAATCAATGCAAGCTGCATGCTATTCAATCGAAGCACATCACCCCTTTGCATTAGATCCTTACTCCAATAACACTCAAATTCGATGAGTTGGCTTTTCACATGTACATGATCCATCCGCCGTGCTGTTAGCAACATTCTTCGATCTCTCTATTACCCTGACATAATATTTTGATTTAACTTATATGGATTATTTTGGAGATTTGCTTCATGATCTTCAACACATTGATCTAAAGAAGAGATAATCAGAATCAGATAATCTATTTCCTTATTTTTGTATAACATAAGGACCATTCTCTTATGGTATGCATAATAGTCATGCTGTGGAAATAAATATTAGTGTTCCAAAAAGAACTAGATGCTCAATTTTCCAATCCTTAAAGAACAAACATAGTATCCACTCCTTTTGATTAATGATGGTGCCAATATTTCTCACTTAATTCAATTCAGTAAGTTGCAGGAAAATTTCCAGGTGTTGAGAGATTTCTTTTTGAGTCTTACTAGTGTTTTAGGGGAATTATGATAAGATTTCTCTAACATCGGTGATTTTGGTATTGCTCACCTTTGTCACTCTACATCGGGATGGATTACCCCTTTGTCTCTCTATCTTGTAATGGACTTCTCATTCGAGTTCTCGGATAAATGTTGCAAAATGTTAGTATGGTTGCTGACTCTTTGTATTTTTCCAACAACATTACAATTTTTTGGAGTAGAGTTTTCTCAAACTCCGGATGAATTGATGCAAAGTAGATTTGGTTTGCCACAATATTTATTTTATGTAAAATTATGCATTTGGATAATTTTTCCGAGAGATTTGGATTTAAAATTGATCTGAGCTGGTTTATCTATTTTTATGATTATGGGAGCTTTGTAATAAATTATTGATTGTATGTTTAAAATTCCGGACTTCTTTTTGAGTTTCCTTTGCTTTCTCTCTCTCTCTCTTCTTTTTATCTATTTCCTATTCTTCCCTACATAAAGCTTGAAAGCATAAATAATCATTCCAAAAATAGGTAGAAAAAATATTTTTTTTCTCTCCTACCCACCCTCTCTCATCTCTCTAACCTGCACATTTTTTTAGGTTTTTGTCCTGCAACGCCAACTACTCATTTTTTCTTCAGGAGGATCGCTAGCTGAACAGCCTCCTTTGAACGCTCCTATGAGTTCCCATTTAGATTATAGTGCGAAAACTGCTTATTTGGATGCATTTGCTCCAAAACCTGGCAGTGAAATAAACTCAGGTTGGCCGCTATATGCCATTTGTTTTGTATGAATAATTTAGTGAGATTTTATTTAAGTGCCATAATCATGATAATCATATTACGTGATTCATTTTTAATGTCATGCTGTATCTTTTACTGATAGTAAATGGTGGTTTTCTGAATGTGCAGAGAATGCACTGCCTTGCAGAATAGCATTTGAGAGAGGTAAAGAAAGGCACTTCAGCTTTTTAGCTATTTCGAAGGGAGAATCTGGCTGGATTGTTCTCTTAGAAGAATTACCGCTCAACCAACAACGTGGGTTAGTTCGTGTATCCGCGCCTTTGGCTGGTTCAGATGTATGCATTTTTGGACTCGGATCTCTTTTTGTGCTTTCGCTCGTTTGCTAATTTCTTCGTGGGGTTTATTTCTGGACGATGATTTCTTTGTTCAAGTGGTTTAGAAATGAGGTTTACAAATAATCTTATATTTTGGACCATCAGATGACATTTTTTTTTAAGTTTGGAAAAATTCATATTTTAGTAATTATTCTTGTAACATATATTGGTAGTATATATGAGTAAATAGTTCAAAATGTTGCCTAGATTTTTTTAGGTGCGCTCACTTTACTTATAAATTTTGTAGGTGTTCAATTTAGTCCCTTAATGGATTAGATGCAAAAGAGGGCAAATTATATAAGAAAAAGTTAGCCCAACAAAGAGATAGGAGTAGTAAGGATTTAGTTCAAGTGAAGTGTATTAAGGATGAAGATCAAAAAATATTTTTTTGTAGAAGAGAATATTCAACAAAGGTGAATGAGATATTTTGCTAAACTTTTCAATGAAGATTATGAGAATATGATTGCCTTTAGTGATCTTAGCACCCTAAATGAAAGTAAAGATTTCTGTTTTTATCAACGTATTAGTAAAACCAAAGTTAGAGAGACTTTAAAGAAAATGAATTATGGAAAATTTGTTGGACTTGATGATATTCCAACAGAGGTGTGAAAATGCTTAGGAGATGAAGGAATTTCTTGGCTTACTAAAATTTTAATGTTATTTAACTATTTTGAAAACTAAAAAGATGTCAGTTGAGTGGAGAATGAGTGTGCTGATTCATATTTTTTAGAATAAAGGTTATGCACAAGATTTTGCAAATTATAAGGAATTAAGTTGATGTCCTAAGCTTTAAAATTATGGGAGAGAGTTGTGGAGCATAGGTTGCGATGTGATACTAATGTTTCTCAAAATCAATTTGGATTCATATCGGGTAGGTCTACTATGAAAGTTGTACATTTATTGAGAAGTTTGATGGAAAAGTATTGAGAGAATAAGGAGGATCTACATATGATATTTATTGTATTAGAGAAAGCATCATATGATTAAGTTCTAAGAGAAGTGCTATGGAGAGTTCTAGAAAAGAAATGGGTTAATATTGCTTATATTCAAGTAATTAAGGATATATATGCAAGAGCTATTACTTGTGTTCAAGCACCATGTGGTTTAACCAAGTTTTTCCCTATTTCAGTTGGATTACATCAAGGATCAATCTCAAGCCCATATCTTTTTGCTTTAGTCATGGATGTTCTCACTAGACATTTGCAAGAGGTTGTACCGTGGTGTTAATTTTTTGCTAATGATATTCTTCTTGTTGATAAGACTAGAGAGGGAGTTGAAGGGAAACTTGAATTATGGAGGTCAACATTAGAGTCTAAAAGTTTTTGTTTGAGTAGATCTAAATCCGAATATATGGAGTGTAATTTTAGTAATAATAGATCTAGCGGGGGAATTGTGATTTTGGGCGATCAAGTCATTAGTAAGAGTACACATTTTAGATATCTTAGTTCTATTCTTCAGAGTGATGATGAAATAGATGGGGTTATTATTAATATAATTCAAGTTGGATGGTTGAAGTGGAGGCTTTTTATGTGATAGAAAAGTCGCCCTCAAACTTAAGGAAAATTTTTGTAAGATAGTGGTGAGACCTGTAATGTTTTATGGTGCAGAATGTTGGTCATTAACAGAGAAGCATAATATTAGGTTAAGTGTTACAGAGATGATGATGCTCAGGTGGATGAGTGGTTTTACTCTTAGAGATTGGATACGAGCATATACGTGAAAAGGTTGAAGTAGCCCCATTGAAAGATAAGATTATAGAGAGTCGCCTTAGATTGTTTGGTCATATAAAATGGAGGCCTCCCGATGACCTGCTTAGGAGAGTAGATGTATTAGATTTGGCTTATGTTAAGAAAGGTAGAGGTAGACATGCAAAGTCTTGGGTAGAAAATATTAGAATTGATATTTCTTTATTAGATTTAAATGAGAATTTGACCCTTAACAAGGCACAATGGTGAAAAAAGATTCATGTGGCCACCCCCACATAGTGGAATAAAGGCTTGATAATGTTGTTGTTGTTCAATTTAGTCCCTTAATTCTCCAAATTTTAACCAAATTAGTTCTACTATCAAGTTTCCTGTTTCTTTCGATAGAAATTGGAGGAAAACTTCATACGGGGCATTTGGGACTTTTGAGAGCCAATTTCACTAATCAATATCAGCTCAAGCTAATGAGGTGGATTTGAAAGTCTAAAAACTTCTCATGGTAAGTTTTCCTGCACCAGTTTCATTCTAAAGAAATGGAAGAGTTGATGATCGGATCAAATTAATTCAAATTTGATGAGTTGAGGGTCCAAATTAAATCCTTAACTAATTTTAAGTTTAAAATAACACACCTAATGATCATTTTCACTATCTTTCGAAATTCTTGTCACGTTTTGAGATTACTAACTTTGCAATAGACTAAGTTGGCTAAAGATACATATAAGCAGTCCATCTCACTTTCTTCTGCATCTTCATGTTACACGTTTCATGAACATTTTCCTAATTATACTTGAAGCCATATTATTCTTCTCAGTTACTACTAAAACAGAATCATTTTCTTTGATTCTCTGCTATAAGCAATTCTTGGGAAACATATTATTGTCCTAACATAAACTATTATCCAACTTCTCCATCAGCCAAGAATTGATGAAAAACATCCAAAGTGGCTCCATTTGCGCATCCGTCCGTCCAATCTTCCATTTCTAGATTCGAAGAATGATCCCTTAGGACGGTCGAAAACCAAAGTTCTGGTTGACGGTAGATGGACTTTAGCCTTCAGGGATGATCAGGCCTGCAAATTAGCAGAGTCAATGGTGATTAAAGAAATGCATCTGTTACAAAACCAAGTCAAGGAAATATTAAAGCCTTTACTTGAAGATCAAATGATGCGCATTTCATCGAATCCTTCGCACAAATCCTCCGATGAACTCCTCGAAGAACAGCCATTAAACACAGGGTGATCATTATTTTTTTTGCAGATGTGACGGCAAATTCTTAAGTGTTTGGCTGCACAGAATAAACGGCTTAATCCACAAAGTGCTTTTGCCAAATTGGTGGGTCTTTTCTCGCCAGCAGGTTGCTACTCAATACAGTTGAGTTTGAGCTGTTTTGAGTTGGCTGCTGCTGCTGCTTTAAGGTCCATTCTTTGTATATTATTAGTCTTCAAGTTAAAGTTTCAGTCGCACTCGATGCTTTAATGTATAATTGTTCCAAGCTTCATTTTTTAACAGAGCCATGGGGCCAAATTTGATTTGTATATATTCTGATATAGAAATATAATTTTGGGTGATGCAGATCAGACTAGTAGATGGTCACAATGGCTATTCTTGTAAGAACAGCTTCCAGTTAATCATAAAATGTAGCACAATAAATCTTTCTTCTCACTCTCTCTCTTTATAGGTCTAAACAAGCTTTCAGCATGTTATTATGTATCAGAAATTTCTTTGAATCTAAATTTTTTATACTAAAAATTTGTTTTAGAAAGCAATACGAAAGTTGTTTCAAATGAAGCTTAAGAAGTCTTTTTACTGATTCTTAAAACAGCTTTTTAGTATAAAAATTAATATTTTTATACTTGAAAGTTGTTTTAAGAATCAATAAGAAAGTCTTCACAAACGAGGCTTTGTTTATGACAGTTTTTTTTATTGGTTCTTAAAGTAGTTTTATGATGGTTTTTTTACTGATTATTTGTACTTGCCTTTGCTTGTTACCAATGGAAAATAAATTATTGCTATTGGAGTATTGGCTGCCTACCTACGACTACCGGTGGTCGATATTCAATGAATTATTTTCTTAGTAAATATTTTTTTTTATTAAAATTTTTTTAATAAAAAATTATTTGAGAAATAATAAAAAAATTGTCTCAAATGAAATGAAGCCTAAGCTATCAAGTTAGCCACCATATTAGCCCATCCATCTCTCTGAATTATGATTAACTCATAAAAAATTAAACTTTCCAATGATCTAATATATGAGGGAGGGGAGATGCATAATTCTTCGAACTTGCACATTTTATGATAAAATGTCAAACTTTGAAAGAGAGAATGTGTTGCTTATTAGCTTTATAAGATCCCTTCAGAGATCTTCTAAGGAGATTTTGTTAAGCAATGATTAAACTTTTTTGTAGCACAAATTAGTATATTTGAGGACATGTTTATGATAGTATATAACCTTCAAACTTTATTGATATGATATAAGTCTAGGTCACTGAAGAAATACCTTTAAACCAGTAGCAAAAGGAATTGCCCTAAAAAGAATCATTTGAATGATGAAGTTGGATAATTTTTTCTCCCCTCTAATGTAGTGTGATAATAAATCTCTATAAAAAAACCTTTGCTAGGTATTTAGGCCTTTGAATCAACATGCATTCCTTATATCTTTAGATAAGTGGAGATCAAGTACATTTTGATGCTTATGATTTCTAAAATTGTTAGGCAAGTAGAAATATTATGCATTATGAGATCTATGCCCTCTGAGATATTTTCATGAGTAAAAGCATATTTCATCTTAGGCTCATACAATATGAGAATTAGACTGTGCCTATCACTTTCTCTCGTAGAGATTTTCAACTGAGAACCTTGCCAAATATTATATATCTATCAAGACTTCGTTATTGACATACCTTCTAAAGGTTTAGAGTAGAGACTATACTTACCACTTTCCCTAATGTAGGACATATTTACATTGAGGACTTTGTTCAATACTAGCTACCTATCAAGACTTCATTACAGGCGTGCCTTCAAATTTCTTTTTTAATTTAACTAAACTTCTTAAAATCAACTATAGTCTACAATGAGGAGGACTATGAGAAATTCTTTAAGGAGTAAGGCTAACCATAGAGTTGTTAGCATGGGTATTACCCCATGAACATAACAGAATAGGATGAAAGAAATTTTGGCAATAAGAGGAGCATTATATTATTCAATGGATTTAACTTGTGATGGAAAACGTCGAATCGAGTCCCTTTTGGGACCAATTTCACCTTGATTGGATGAGACAATTATTGTATGTTTCTCAAATAAAAGTTAAGAACGACTTATATATAGACTATTACTATCCATTTGAAGTCATGCTTATAACTCTGCTCATTAAGTATAAACTAGGTACTATATATATATATATACAGAGTTGAAATTTTCTTAGAGGCTTATTATGAAATTCCTTGTATACATAAAAGCCATAAAATAATGCTAACGAGAGTGCCTTTGATGTGTAAAGCAATTGTCCAATTATAACCATACCTAGGAGGTTAATGTGAATGTCCTTTTGAATTTGCAGCTTGGGTTGTCCCAAATTCTAGCCTACTTCTTATAGAACTAATAGATTAACACATGAAAAAATAATAAACAAGTTGCTTGACTATTAACATGAATATTCTTTTGATATTGCAACCAAAGTTTCATAATAGATGACAAATAATACCCAATTATAATCTTTCTCAAGAAATTATTGTAAATGTTCTTTTCAGGTTATAGTAAGGTGGGCCAGGTGGCCCCATAGTCTAGGATCCTTTCCCATAAATGATGTCAAACTATTGTAGACTAGAACATTCAATACAATATGTAGAGTTTATCGTCTTAACATTGTAGCAAAATATCATACATTATAAATAACATTTCTTGAGAAGAAAACTTTTTTTTTTACAATGAAAATTGGGGGAAGGGAAAAAAACTATGTTACCTAGCTCATTTGAAATAATTTCACTTGTGTGATTTGTAGGTTACAAAGATTGTCCTTCTTCATAGTTGAAAAAGGCATTTATAAAATATAATATGTTTGAACTATAAAAAATGATTTCCATGGTGAAAATAGAAGCCTTGGAGTGTTGAAGATTTCAGCAAGAGATCATTGGTAATATACTTGATTGATCACTTTATTGCACATACTAATGATAAAGGAGATGAGCATCTATCTTAATAGAGAGGTTGGGTGTTGGTTTGTGGGCTGTGAATTCGTGGCCCCTTTCTTTTCTTCGGGTCATCGTAGAGAATTTTAACGCGTAAATTTTGAAGCAAATCTTTAGAAGGCAGATTGGTTTTTGAATAAGACATTACCAAGAGATTTCACCCACATTTTATGAGGACTTTATGATATGAGTTCTTGTTTCCTATAGGTGCAAGCCCATATACTTAATTACCCCTACGGTAATGAGAGAGAACTTTTGATTAAGGTAGTCATCAAACAAATAAGTAGTATCCGGCATATAGTAGTAGCATGATTTGGTATTTAAAAATTTAATATTTAAAATAAGAAATTCACCACCTTACACTTAACAGATGATGGGGGAAATGATGAGACCCGATCAAGATTCCATGGTTCCGTCGTCCCGAGTCATCATGGTCCCTGTTCTACTTAGTCAAAGGAGATAATTGACCCAACCTGATAGAAGTATCTTTTTCGGTAGCCATGGTTGCTTCGTCCAAGGGTATCTCATAGACCTAGGATGTATATTTGTCTAAGGTGATAAATTTGAATTCACCTTAGCTAACATAGGACTTTTTTCTATGTCAGTCATATCCTATTGATTCATTACTCAAGAATTTGAAATCATTGGGGAACATACGAGCTTTGACCACGATCGTAATATAATTGTGCCATTTGGAGGCAAAATCATCTGGTTAGAGGGTCACAGCCATATCCATTTACCTATGATGTCATTTGGTGGTGAAACCACATGCTAGAGGAAACGTGACATATCTTTACTGGCAAAAAAACAAACTGAGAATAAATCCTAATGATATCCTTAACCAAATATATGCTCTTTGTGAGCTGAAGTGATTTCAGACTTGTCCACTTTGGCAAACTGTTGCAGAGGTTGGATAGGTATCTATCCTTAAGCATTTGATGATTTATTTTATTTTAAATATCTTGATTTTGGGTGATCATTAGAATTTTGAATTTTCATGGACATTTGGGAGTTTGAGAGGCATTTTTTTAATATTTGAGATCCCCTCCAATTGGGATAAACATTCACCAGCTATCATTGGGGTCTTTATGGGTAATTTAATTTTATTAGTTGGACCTTATGGACTCTGTCAACTTATCGACAAAGGATTGGGTTAGTTGTCAGCTTTATGCTTTTATTAGTGATTTTTTCTTGTTATAGACATTGAAGGTCTAATATGAATGTACCAAATAAATATCTCAGTCGATGTTAGGACTGTATATTTATTTGATGGTTCGAAGCTGTGTCAACTCCTATCTATTCATGTAGAAGGATCGAGCTCGAACTTATGTTCATTTCTTGATCCGTGCAACATCTTCAGACATTAGGTGTGTGCACATGACATGGGCCAATGCAGTTATATGGTTTTACATGCATGAAAAAGGTGGTATTTTAAATGTTTAAATATAATTATTTGCTCTAAGTGGTTGTCGCTAAAGTTTGCAAAAAAGTTCATTTGAAGCTTGAGAAATGCCTTCCGTCAGCTTATACGACTGTTTCAGATCTGGTGGCGTAGTGTAACAGCGCAATAAATTTCATTTCTCATTTTGCCTTTTGCATGATAATGCAGTTTTGTTCATTTTGCCTTTTGCATATTTTTATTTTCTTTAGTACTCATCTTGTAGTAGTACACTTTTATTTGCAAATGAGCTTCATGTCGTATTAGGAGCCTTCTACATGTTGGTTGCAAATGAGCTGATTTAAATGATATGACATCCTGACATCGAGCAATTCATTGCCTTGATTGCATGTCAACTCCTCTCATATGTGGGGAGCTTATGCATTTGTTATAAGTGTTTAAGATTATGAATAAAATAGAGTAATACAAAAATATAATAAATGAATATATATTCAATAATGAGGATATATAACAATTATAAACTTTTATTATAAATAGTGGACAAAAGTGATTTAATTTATTATTTCTTTTTTTATTATTATGGTAATAAATTATAAAATATGATAACTTAAATTTATAATCTTAGAAACACAATCAACTAATGAGTCTATTTCTGTCTGAATAAGCAAAACTTTCTTCAATCCTTTTCTTTTTCCAACATTTTGTTTGGGACAACTTTCTTACTATTTTCTAAAACAGTTTTTTAATACAAAAATTTATTGTACTAAAAAATTGATTTAAAAAATAATAAAAAAATTATGTAATCTTCAAAATCAAAATAATTTGATAGAACTTCCTAATGATCCTCTACACAACTAAATTTTCTTGAATCCTTGTTTTGCCTCATATAAGCCATTAATATTTTCAAAAAAAAAAAAAAAAAAACTATAGAGCAAATGCAGCAGAATATGATCACAATGGAAGCTCAAACCTTTACAAGATCCAAATATTCATCAGGCTCTATAATTCTGGACAGGCAAAATCATCTCATTAAGCAAAGCTTCTGAAAGCTTCCTCTTAAAAATAATTAATAGCGTCAACATATCATTTCTGATAAAGATTATCTCTTACAAACAAGTTGTTTCAAACAGTAAAAAAAAAAAAAGAATAATAATGTACAACACATTCGTTTCTCTTTTCAGCTGTTGAATAAATCCTATCTGGTTTAAATTCCAACCTAACGAGCTGAGTTTGCCAGTTTTTTTAGAGGGGAGTGAAATAAAAAATAAATCACACCTACTCTCATGGCAAAAAAATCACTATACTGCTATATGAAACCCAACTTTGCTTGGTATTAATCAAATGCTATACAAATGCAGATTTCTGCTTACCGAAAAGCTGCTGAGAAAGGAACTTCGAACCTGCCAGTAAATCAAAAAAATCCTAAAATTAGATCAGAGGTTGCTCAGTCTAATAATAAGAAATGAAACGACCAAAATTCAAATTTTTTGGCAAGATTTCAGTGAAATTGATAAGTTGGATGATCTTGGAAGAAAGAGAGAGATATCCACCAGAGCAGATTTGCTAACAATTTCATTGCAATTTGATGAATTGAAACCCTAAACCCTAAACACATCCAGATCATTCCAGAGCTGAACAAAAGTCCAAAATCCTGTCCATAGGTCAGAGACATCTGAAATTTTATGGATTTTGATGGGAAATTTTCCATTTTATATAATTTTATTGCCATTTGTGGGAATATGTTTCATGTTGAAAATAGAGAACTATATATTAGTTTCTAAACTTTTTTAGGATTTCAATAAATTTTCTGGTATCTTATGCAAATAAAATTAAATTCTGAGCAATTAAATACGTTTAGAATGAGTCCAAGCATTTATGTAATTCTACATTTTCAGAGAGGGGAGTAAATTGCCAAGGAGGTTTAATTTGTGATTTTAAAGAGTTCAGGGAGGGCTTCTTGTAATTTCTGAATGGTTTTAGACCCATTCTACATAGTCATGTTTAACATAGAAAGCAAGGTGTCAGGCACTAATAGGGAACTGACTGCAGTAAAACAAATGTAGAAGCTATCTGGGTATTTAAGTACCCTTCTTTCAGCAAAATTTGTTGTTAACTAGATACAGACGGATTGAAAAGTTTTATCCAACTAATTTAAGGAAAATTTAGCAAATCATCTAAATAAATTCACCAAGTTTCATTGTTGATTTCCTTATTGAAATATAAGGCGCTGACTAATCGGTTTTCAGAAAAGACTTCAAATTAAAAGTTGCAGAATACTATAGAACATATGTAATACACAAAACAATCTAACTAATAACAACAATAATTAATGAAGAAAAAATAGACAATCTCAGAACTTACCAGGATAATTTTCTCAAATGAAACTAGCAAGTAAAGCATGCAGTGCAACCCAATAGATCAAAAATGCTAGCCTCAGACTTGGTTGTCTCATTAGCAACCGCTCAGCAGACACCCTGGGAAGTTTGCCATGAATAAACAGTTTGTTCAGCAAGTATTAAGGAAGACTTATCAATAAAAAAGATAGAATAATTCAAAAACGGTGCCAACCATATTCCATCAATCCTGTCCACTATAGGCCGAGTAGCTCTTGGGACTAGCCGAGACTTGGTTAGCGATTTGAATCCATGTGCTATAACGGGATAAAAAAAATGTAAGTTAAATTCAATGAAAACTAGCTTACTATGTAGAATCAATTGGCTTAGGCTTCGTTTGGGACAGCTTTCTTCCTACTTCTTAAAGCGGTTTTCTAGTAAAAAAATTTAACTTTTGTACTAAAAAGCCACTTTAAGAAGAAGTAAGAAAGTCATCCCAAACTAAGCCTTAGAAAGCAACAAAGATAAAACGTACCTTTGTCATCATCTTCATCCTCTAATGCACCATCATCTTTCTCAGAGTCGATAGCTATAGCAATGTGGTCATTGTTGACTTTGCGTCCACTACGTACAATGGCTGCAATTGGACCTGAGGATGCCTTGTTTCTCTGCACCTAGAATAACACAATGATATAACATTAGAAATTTTACGGTCAAAACAATAGTGAAAAACATCGGAAAAAAGCATACGAGTTGTCCAGCACATACAGTTGAGCCAAGCTAAAACAACAGCTCCCCAAACACTAAAACTTATCTTAAAAGGAAACATAAGATTAGAAAAGAAAAACATTTAATTACCATTTGTTCAATTTCCAAAGCTCCTGAAGAGTTACTACTTTGTTGATCAGAACCTCTACCTCCTTGAGATTGCTCTAACCTTTCCTTTCCATGCAGATAACTTTCAAGACCTTCAGTTCTTGATAAAAGTTCTTCAATCCTACCTCGTTCAGTTTCTAGCAAGGCATCTTTACTTTGGACTGTAGCACGCAGCTCTTCTAGTTCATTAATAGTTGAGGCAATCTTCTTGCCCAAGATGCCAATGTACAAATGAATCTGACTAGTTTCCTGATCATCAAACTGCACAGGAGGTCCTCCAAAATAAGAAACCATGCCACTCATCCAGGTAAGCAACTCATGTACTTCTAATGAATACTTCTTGCTGTTCTCTTGTGAGGCCAAAACATCATTTGAACACCTAGTTACCTCTTTACGCAAGAAAGAAATCTCCAAATCTCGCTCGTGTAGCTGTGATTGAAGATTTTCAACTTCTAAAAGAAGAGTTTCTGACAGATTATGCAATTCATCAAACTTGCTGACTGTTGTTGAAAGTTTTGCCATGGTCTTTGCATTGGAGGTTTCAAGAGTCTCCAATTGCACAACCCTTTGTTGTAGTAAATTTTCCATATCCTTGTTTCTGCTTTCCAGAGCTTCCATTTGTGTTTCTTCTTCATCTAGAGCTTGCATTAAGGCTTCAATTTCTGCAAAACAAATGGTGGAGACGTTCAAATTCAAAGAACTATTGAAACAAAAAGAGCAGGTGGAGTCTGAATTTACAGAATATTTATATTACCTTGATCTTTAGCATTCACAGACTCAGTTAAAGAGTTGATTCTCTCCTGCAATAGCTTTGACAAAGCCTCAACATTTTGTAGCTCATTCAATCTCAACTCTAATAAGTTTTTATTAGTTTCCACTGCCTCTGCCTTCTTCTCTAAGTTGAAGAACTGGGCCCTCGAAGAGTCAAGATCAGCCATTGACCTTTTAGCAACAGTCTCTGCATCCTTTATCTGAGAGACAAGCTCTTCACAAACCCTATTCATTTGTATATCCTTCTCCTGAAGTTCTCTCTGCAATGCTAAAACTGTAGCTTTTAATTCCCTCTCAGTTCTCTCAACCAACTCATTTGTAGAATTTGTATCCTTCACTGTTGATAAAATAGACTCTACCATCATTTTGATGCAGTCATCCATGGAATGAACATCTTCAACTTCTCCCATGGCATAGCTTGGCAACGTCCGGAAAATGTCCAAATTCAAAACATTTTCTCCAAGAGTTCCGGTATTTCCAGTAATTTGTGATTTCCTCCTAAAAGTCTCCATAACTAATGTGCTACAAGCTTCATAAAGCACAGTTAAGTTTCTATAAATTGAACAGATTTTAGCATCCTTCTGCTTGAGCTTTGATTCAAGGTGTGTGATCTCTCTCTTCAATGACTCTGAAGTATCTTTTAAAGATGAGTTTCTTCTTTTCACAGCTTCTACGGTTTCTGACAGATACACTGCTTTCTTGTCAAGAAACACAGAATGGTTGCAAACACGTTCTCTCAAAGCGTTGCAATGATTCTTACATTCATGTAATGCTTGGTTAGCAAGCGCAAAATGTTCAAATAGCAAGGTTTCATCGACATTTTGATGTATCTTTAACGGTGCAGAATCAGAAATGGACAGAGATATTTCCTGAAATAACATTCTAAAATAAGAAAAAGGGAAATCATATAAAGAACATAATGAATCTTGCCGTGAATATTTCCCATAAATTTCAAGGGTGCATTATTTTGCATAGAAACTCAACTATTACTTTTCTATATAAATTTTAATAAATAATTCAAATTTTGAAGAAAAAAAGGGTTTGAATTAGTGACACAAAGACTAAGAATATTATATCAAGTATAATATTAGCAATCATCACTAAATATTGTTAAACAATAAAATGATGATAAATGTAATAGGTTTAAGAAAATCAGGATTTATTATATAAAAGAATGGAGATATAAAATAAGATATAATTTCTAGATTTAAGGTTGGCTGGCTGGCTAAAATGGAGAGGTGCCTTAGGAGTATAGATGATAAGAATATATCATCAATACTTAAAGATAAATATAAAAGACTTTATTATATGGATCAGAGTGTTGGACAGTAAGGCCATTGATAACTAAGTTGAACGTGACAAAAACAAAAAATTAAGATGAATGGAAAAACAAAAAATTAAGAAGAGTAAAAGGAATAATTATATTAGACAAATAAGTAATGACATCTATTCAAAATAAAGCTGTTGAAAAAAGACTTAAGCAGCTTAAGAAATGTACAACAAAAGTTAAAAATACAACAATTAAATGGGAAGATTGAATTAATGTCAAAGGAAAGTCGGAAAAGAAAAGGAAACCTATGACAAAATGGATAAAAACTGTTGAAAATGATTTTTGAACAACAACAACAACAACATCAAGCCTTTATCCCACTACGTGGGGTCGGCTACATGAATCCTTTTTCTCCATTGTGTCCTATTAAAAGTCAAATTCTCGTTTAAATCTAATAAGAAAGGTCATTCCTAATATTTTCTAACCAAGTCTTTTTAGGTCTACCCCTACCTTTCTTAACATAAGTCAAATCTAATACCTCTACTCTCCTAACCGGGACGTCATCACAAGGCCGCCGTTTTATGTGACCAAACCATCTAAGGCAACCCAACAGCTTTTCCACCCTTCATTTTCTTTAAAGCCTCTCTAACTTCAGATTTACTAATACGCCGATAAAAACATAAATCTTTAAAGCTGAACAATAGATCCAAGATACTAATACCTCTGTTGAAAATAGACTTAATCTATATTCCGTTTTAAAGCCTCTCTAACTTCAGCTTTTCCACCCTTCATTTTCTTGAAAATGATTTTTGAAGAGCCTAAAAAATAGTTCAATAAGAACAAATGAAAAATTAGAATTTATAAACCCCAAATAGTTGGTATATGACAAATGATGATCATGATGAATAATTTCCTGAGCAGAGCTCAGTCTATACCAAATGAAAGCAACCCAATTAATAAATATGCAGCTGATGCGCATGGAGAAAAGCTACTTAGATGAACCTAAGTGCAATGAGAATGTGATGAGGGTTAATTTCAATTTCAGGCGCAACCTTCAGAGGATGGATCTCAAATATACATAATTCTCAAGGATATGCTCAGCACATTAGGATATTTAAAGGTGCAGAAAATGCTTTTATTTTAAATCATACATATTTTGAATGATTTTGTGGATTAAAAAACCACACAAAATGTTGCTTGGAGATACCTCGTTCTTTTGTTCATTAGATGAAAGAATACCGCTTGATATTAAAACTAGTTGCTTGCTCTTATCTGAACTGCAAAACTCATCCAAAGTAAACTCCCACAAAGCATCCACAAGGTTAAATAGATCAACATCCTTGCTTAGAACTACAGATAAAATCTTAGAAGACTGCAGGAGACCTTCTTTCAAATGATCAATGACCAAGATAGAATCCATCAAGTTCTTTGCAAGTCTAGTTCTTTCCTCAAAATGAACTGACATGACGTTTTCAAGTCGTGAAAGAGAATCATCCTTTTGTTTAGAATATTTTGAAAGGGAAGCTTCTGCCTTTAACAGCTCATCCTGAAGAATATCATTTCTTTCTTGAACTTCATTCAACTCAGTTATAAGCAATTCAGCTGCCCGTTTAGATTTGTTAGCTTCACGTTCAGCTGCAGCAGTTGATGAACGCAGATCAAGAAGTATGCTGTTAACAACCCTGAGCTTTTCAAATGGGTCAATGTCATTGGCCTCACTCTCTAAATCAATGGCATTTAATGTAGTTAATAATGTACTGTAATTCTGGTTGCTATCTTGTAACTTCAGTTCCACATCAGCCAATCGGTGCATCAACAAGGACTTTTCAGATATCAAGGATTCTATCTGTTGGCTGTGATCAATCTTTAATTGCCCCAAAAAAGTATTCATCTCATCAACAGTCTGTTTCAGGCTATCCCTCTGTTGCACTAACCCCTTTCCTTTTCTCACAGCAAGATTTAACTTCTCTTTTAAAGAAGCATTTTTTTGCTCCTCTAGAGTTAATTGTTCTTGTAAAGAATCTCTCTGTTTTTCCATCGCATCCAAATTCAATGCCAAAGACTGATACTTCTCAAGATCTGCATTCCTCTGCACATTCAGCACATCAACTTGCATCTTTAGATCCTCCACTTCCAATATCAAAGACTGGCACTTACCAAAAATTGAATCCCTATCCTGCTCCACTGAATACAGTTTATTGGAAATCCGGTCTAGCTCTAAACTCATTGAAGCCAAGCCTGATTCTTTGGCAAGCAGAGCTTCTTCGGGCACCATTTTACCATGAACTGGGCTGCTTTCATCAGGCACCATTTTACCATGATCTGAGCTGCTTTTATCCAACAATGTCTCATTAATTGGAACAATATTGCTAGATTTGTTTAAATGAGCAGTGTAATTATCAATCAGCTTTTTTAATGATTCTTCTAGATGCTCAACAAGACTACCTCCAGAAATAAAGTCTAACTTATCATGCTCCATTAAAGTACTATCAATCAAATAATGCAGTTTTTGCAACTTATTCTCGATATCCTTATAATATTCAAACTGAGCATTGTCAATCAATTTATCCCGCAAATCATCTAATTCTTTTTGCAAATTCTCTTTATTTCGTTCATCATGAACAGCCTTCTCTGAGAGTGAAAAATGTTCAATCCTGAGCTTTTCAAGACTTTCAACGAAAAACTCTTTTTCGGATTTAGCAGCTGAAACTTCTGCAGTAAGTTCTGATAATTTCTTATGCGATTCTTCTACATCAGCTATGAGCATGTCCAAAGATGTTTCCAGATTATCAATCTTCAGTTGCAAAGAATCCTTTTCTTGGTTCACTTCCGAAAGCTCTCTTCCTAACCACTCAATCTTATCTACAGGTTCCGTTGTTTGCATGTGAGAAGGCAACTCAATTCTATCCAAAAGTTCTTCCCACTTCTGCACAAGATTGTTCCTCTCCAACAAAGACTGTTCCAATATATCGTTATGCTCAGCTAGGCCATAGAACTTGCTTTGAAGCTCCTCATGTTTTTTTTTCAAAACATCAAAATCTATGTTGGAACCAGGCCCCGTACACTTATTAGCATCAATTACCACACACCGTTCAGCATCAGAATGTGTGCGCTCCTCTAAACTTTTCTGCTCCAAATCAGTCACGGTTGAAGAAGGATGATCAATTACAAATCTGGAGAGCAGCTCGATTTTTTCTAGAATATCTTTGTCATGGAAATCATCTGGTAGTTCTAAATCTTCCAGAACTTCTTCAATCCTCTGAAGAACTGAATCTTTCTGGAGAAAAGAATCCCTCAGAACAGTTGCAGAATTACGAATATATGAGAGCTCAGACTCCAAAGCTTCAATGCGTTCCACTTCAGAACAGGACTTGAGTTTTGTCTCCAGCTCATCCAGCAATGAGTCCTTTAAAAGCAAGTCCTGTGCAGACTTCTCAAGCTCGCTAGTTTTTTCAATCAAAGACTGTTTAAGACTATCACGTTGCACAATTAGACCTTTGCCCTTAGCAACAGCTATGCCAAGCTTCTCTCTGACAGAGGAAAGTTTCTGTTCCAATTGTTCAATTTCGGATGTTTTCAATTGCAGTTCACGACAAGAAGCTTCTAGAGTCTCTTCAATCTTGCTCATGCCCTCCTTCAAAATTTGAATTTCAGTTTCCTTCTGCACATTTGACACAGTCAACAGCTTCAGCCTTTCATGAAGCGCAATCACCTTAGGAATGAAGGCATCACTAAGCAAGGCGGGCAGTGGCAGGGAACAATCATCAGTTGATACACCCATCAGCATATAAGCATCTTGTATATGTTTCTTCGACAACATTATCTGCTCAAGAATTTCATCATAGTTATAAAGATGAAAAGAAACCAACTCCTCAAGCCTTAATAGAAGAGAGATGAACGAGTTAACCACAACATTATCATCTTTTGAGACAACCACATCACCTCTTTCCCAGGATTTACCATGGACATATAAATCCTTACATGATTCATGGTTCTCCAGTTGATTGGCCAGACGAAAGCACCTCCTTTTTACCTCTTCAATCTCTTTTGTTTTATTTAATAAAGTAGATTCAAGTCCATCTTTGATATTACTCTGAAGTTCCAGCTCCTTGAGTCGTGTATTCAACTCTTCTATTTCTTGGTTTCTGATTGACAGGACCAAGTCAAGTTCGGTATTTCTAGACAATAGATAACCCCACTCACTAAACAGCTTCTGCAAATAATTGATAGCCATTTCACACTTTTCAGGAAGAAATTCTAGCACTTTCTCAGCATTAGCATTAGCATTAATTGCAACATCCCCAGTATTTTGTTGGGCTTCATGTATAAGATTCATGAGGTTACCATAAAATTTATAAAATAGCTCAATAACAAAAGCATGTCTTCCTTCAATGTCCATGACAGATTTATTCAGTTCTTTGTGTGAATCATGCAGTGTGCTATAATTATGATTAATTTCTTCAACTTTATCATTCAGTTTCTCAATTTCCAAAATAGCAGCATCAACTGAAACCATGGCATGTGATTTAGTGTCCAGGTTTTCAAGGACCTTTAGTCCAGTCGATGCATCCAGCTTTCCAACCGCCTCCATAATCATGCCCAACAGGTCATCTCTTTCTTGCTTGAGAATAAATGCATCTTCACTGACTTTGTTCTTCAACAACTCTATCTCATCTAGAAATCCAGCTGCCTCCTCGTTGACATGCTGATGAAGCTCATCTATATGTTTATGCATTTCGCACAATTTAGGCTCATAATCAGGTACTTTCCTAGCAAGCTCATCAAATGCAACTTGTAGACTATCATTTTGATGCTTCTGAGTTTCACAGTCCATTTTGTACTTTTTCAAGGCTTCTCTATCGTGCTGGCTGTCCATTACAAGTATCTCAACCTTCCCCAGTTCTAATTCTATCTTGTTAAGTGCATTGCTGAGACTTAAAGTATGTTCTCTGGATAAAGTATATGAATCTTCTGACCTTACAACAAGAGTTGAAGGTACCTCATCTACACCACCACCAACATGATGAGCTTTTGACTCAAAGGCTTTAATTAATTTTGACACCCCAGCTGTGTTTCCTATTCCACTTGAGCCGCTCAAGAAAAGAGAATCAGAGTGCACCATTTGTACAGACTTCTCCAGATCTTGCAATTTAGTTTTTGCCTCTTGAAGGTGCTCCTTCAATACCTTCAACAAAGCAAAGCTGTCAGAATCTTTCCCATCATCCTTCTGAAGCACACACCCATGGTTTTGGAATTGAGAATTTGATTTCAATTTAGTGCTGGAAGAAACATTCACATTGGATTCTTCATAGAATGGCTGGGACAAATCAATAGTAAAATTGATGAGATCGTCATTACTTATTTGACCTTCTTGACCATGGCAAGATGGCACAAATGTCCCGCTGTCCATCTCCTTAATCTTAGCATTGCATATATCAAGATTGCAAGAAAGATAAAAGTTCTCCTCAAAAAGTTTTTCAAAGTATGACCATAATTCTCTTAGGTTATCCTGAAGCTCGACTTTCTTCTCTATTGCAATCTGCAGTTTCTCCTCTTTTGCTGTTAACTGAGACAAAAGATTCATATTCTGAGTGGAAAGTAACTCTCTCTCCTCTGCAATTTTCTTCCTTGCATCAGCTTCTTCCATAAGAGCTGCTGTTAGCTTTGATTGCCCGCTTGAAAGGAACTCCACCTCTTCTACAAGTTTTTTTTTTGCATGAGTTTCTGAAAGGAGAGTTGCTAACAAGTTTGAATTTTCCTTTTGCAAAGCATCCACAGAGCACTGGCAAATGGCTAGTTCATTGGAAACATGCAATAAGTCTTCTTGGGATTTATGAAGCTCGCTTTTCAAGTTGAAACACTTAATATATTCCTGCTCAATCTCCTTCCTTGCAGAAAGAAAGTTGGTTTCAATTTCATCCTTCATAATGGCCAAAAATTGAAGCTCAGACTTGCTTTGCACAAGTTCTTCAGTTAACATTTCTTTACTTTCTTGAGCCTTCTTAACCAAATCAAAGAGTCTGTGTACTTCATAAGAAGAATGTTGGTGGAAATCTTCATTTAACTGTGTCTGCTCAACCAACTGCAACTGGAGAATATCTTTTGCAATAAAAGATAGGTAAAGATGCCTTTTAACACTGTCAAGTTCGACAGCAGAGCTTGCCTTCATTAGCACTCCTTCTTGCTCTAACTGCCCCCCTATTGAGGAATCCATCTTTAAATAGCCCTGCAGAGATGAAAGTCCCTTCTTGCGAGCATCCAAAATAATCTCCTTAACTGAAACAGCCTCTTTTGATTGCCTACCCAGGCATGCATCCTTGGCGGTAAGGTAATCCATTGGAAGTTCTATGCCTCCCTCATTAGTTCTTTCCCCTAGTTCCAAATGAAGTTCCTCATTGTCTACTGAAATTCCTCGGGAAGAAGATGGTATTTCTATTTTTTTCTCATTAAAAGTACCTTCATTAGATTCATGAGAAATATTCATGCCCGCATACTGAGATTCTTCAGCTGGATTAAAACATTGATTGATCTCTTCACTTCTTGTTGACCCACAAACAGCAGGGTCAGTAGTTACTTTCCGTTTATCTTCAAATAAAAGGTTCTCCTGATCCTCTACCTTCTCTTCATCTAACATCTTTTCTGACTTCACCCAAGTAACGACCGAAACTCCTTCATGACTGATTGCAGCTAGTGAACATGTTATTTGGGATGAAGTGGAATTTTCCAAATATTGTTCAGGATAAGTAGATTTCTCTACTTCCTCAGAAAGACTATGATTCAAGCCTGAGCCTTGAACTCTATCAGCTAGAGCAGAAGATTCATTTGTCTCTTCCAATCTGACAGGTTCGTCAAGTGTACTGGAGGAAGTTTCTCCCCACATTGCTCCTTTCTCCATCTGATGGCTGCCTCCATTCTGTTTCCCTGAATTCACACAAGAAACTGAAAGATCCCCACCGTTCTCAAAAACAACTTCTGAAGAAGAAGAGGTCTCAGAAACCTCATGACTAATGCCAGATGAGAAGGTTGCATCCAAATAATGACCAACACCTGAGCTGCTGCCATTTGATTTTTCCAACACCACGCCATGAGCTTCCTGCATTGGCCCTACCCAGCAACAAATGAGAATGAAATTATACATCACCCCTCATCCATTTTTTATTCCCAACCACCCCGAATTTCAAAAATAAAGAATAGATTTTCCCTCACCTGGTAAATAAAATCGGCAGGAAGCTGTTCCAACTTCAACCTCAGTTCCTCAGCTCTTTGATCTGCTCCTGAATCTGAAGCATCCAATAGATTGGCATCGACCGCATCAGCAGCCGAGGCTGGAGCCTGACCCAATTTCGAAAGTTCCTCGCTCTCGCCCTCATTCCCAGGGTTGTTAACTTGGCTTGAGGACTTCGCATGACTGCCACCGCCCTTGTTATCTTTCTTCTGCCTGAATTGCTGAAGCTGATGTCCCAACAATTAAGTTCAGACGCATTACCCCAATGTTTAAAGAAAAATAAAACATAAACAGGATTTGATTGCTACAGTGGCAAGCTAGAAACAGAAAAGGAAAAAAAAGGAATGAATAACGGCAAAGGAGAGTACCTTCTTACGGCCAGCGGCTAGCATATCGGTCCTGGTCTTGCTCTTATCCATTCAGACAAATAACTAAGCGAATCTCTAATGATCAGATGAGCTTCGACGGCATCAATCACAGATCTCCAAGGTGAGAAACCCAAGGGGCGAACTGGAAGAGATCAAATAGCTCCGGCTTGACTTAGGATAGAGATTGGAAGAGGAGTCGGATTAGGGTTTTGTTGTCGTCGTTTTCCTCCTCTTTTCGCGCTTGATCGCGTCGGTTTTGCGTTGGTTTTGCGTCGGCTTTTGCGCTTTCCGCTCTCACATTACATGATTTCGATGCGTCTCAGATCCTATTTGATAATTTTTTGATATCTCAGTATGGTTAATTACGGGAAATTACGGGACCTATTTTGGGCTGATATGGGCTGGGTGGGTCAACCCTAAGTGGCCCTAAAAAAAAAATTACATTCATACCCCTCCAAATAAACTATATTTCATATTTAACATCCCAAATTATTCTTTTACATGCCACCCAAAATCAATACTATAGCTGAACCTTAAAGAGAAATTAATCTGTGAGGAATCCAGACGGGAAGAATTATTCGGACTATTAGTGCACACAGTGTGTAAACTTACATATCCGAACAGTTCTTCCATTCCGGACTCCAGACAAAATAATTATTCCACATTTAAGATTTGTTTGGATTCAATATTTAATAGGATTTGGAAGAGGGTTTGAGTATATTGTCAAACACAAAAACATATGCTCAAATTTCATGATAAGTTAAATCATAATTTTATGCCCTTTTTTATTTTTTTCCTTAAATTCGAAATTTAGCAAATTCGACCGTTCAATAAATTTACGAGATTTAGGCAAAGAAGCATGCAAAAGGGTGAAAGATCATTACCTTAGCGATGAGATCTCGTCATGACTTCTAATCTAATAAGAACAATTTCTGATTTAATTAATCTAAATAAGAATATAGTGTGAATAATAAATAAATAGTTAGATTAAATGATAATTAAATTACATTCTAATTATATTATCTATAGTTATCAATTATTGAATGTAATTAAAATTAAAATTTATAATTAACTCATAAATAACTAAAAAAGTATAATCAAGATTAGTTAAAAGTAGAGATATCAGAGTTATATTGACAAATAATTTTATGAATATTAAATATTATTCTGGTAAAATATTTTTAATATTTAATACATTTACAATTTAGTAAATTCAAATTTACATGATTTATAAATCCTACTTAGAGACTATTTGGTTAAAAGTAAAGTGTTTGTAAAATGTGAACTATAAAATAAATCATTTAGATTTAGGGGCTATTTGGTTGGAAGAGTTTTAGTTTTTTTAGCAAATTTTTTTTTTTCCATTGCAAAACAATCTCTCTTATTGCCGCTGATTACAACCACTACCAACCACTCATCGTCGGCCATCATCGCCATCACCCATAGCCAGCCATCCATCACCGACCACCACCACCGTCGAGTGCTGGCCATCATGACCACCTGCAGCCGCTAGCCGCCACACGCCACCAGTTGACACTATCATGTTCATCCACAGACAGTATCATCGTTAAATTTTACATTACATTCATTTTATAAATAAATAAATAAAAAAAAAACTTTTTTACACGGCATTATTTTTAAACTACACTCCCTTATCTTCTTTCTTCATCGAACCAAACAGCCCTCAAGTCCTACTTCAAGCCCGTAGAATCCGCCGTTCTCTGCTTCACGGCGAGTTCCGTGACCCCCTCCCTCCGGCTAGCTTCGTCAAATCCCTCCTGGTTCTAACATTCCTGCCTTATTTCTTCTCCTCGGCTCCCGCTGAGTCCGTCCTCTTCCTCTTGCCTCGCAGTTCTTTCGCTCCAACCGTAACATGGAATCCTTTTTGCATTCTGGAACTAGAGATTCCCGGCCGGTCAAAAAGCATGAGCAACGCAAGACCATCCGCACCATGCCGCTACCTAGCTCTCAGGTCTGTCATTTTATGCAGAGCTTTACTTTGGAGAAGAAAGTAGTTTCAATGCGTTAGCGAAATGTAATTGGAAAAATTTAACCATGTTGATTTACATGACGAGTAAGAACTTGTTCCACGATGAATTTGAAAATAAAGAGTTCAATTTGTTACATATGAAAAGTTAAATTTTTTTGGTTGATGTGTGTCAATTCATGTATGTGTAGAAACTCAAGAACTGAGTTTCTTGATACAAGACAGCAAGCGACAATTAAAACAGAGAAAAGGAAATTTTATTAATTCATGTACAGTACATAAAACCTGTAGACTATTTATAGAGAGATTGGCTATATATTAGGTAATACAATGAGCTATATTAAGTTTATGTAATAGCATTGTTTTTGTACTCTAATAGTATGCAGCATTTTTGTTACATATGAATGTTCGTAATTATTTACTATTGAATTTATTTGGTAAACTTTAAGCTTGGGGGAATGTGGGTTGTAATCAAGAGAAAATGTTTAGAAAGAGATATGATGAAGACAAATAGATAATTCTTGAGTTTGAAAAAGACCTCATCAATATTTGTTTGCTTAGTAAGGAGATAGAGAGGATTTGTTCATGTCTAAGACCATATCCAACCAAACTCCATACCACCCTATGCTGTCCGCCATTTGCTCCATTCAAACTCCAAATCACACGCCAAATTCCGGTAGGTGAACAGTGTGACGCCAATATTGGCATTGGATTGCTCACCTACGCCAAAAAAATTCGCTGCATGATTTGACGAAGAAGCGCACGAAAGAGGAGAACAGCTCGCCAAAGATGGTTGCCGATGCGGGAAGCGCGCGAAAGAAGAAGAAATGACGTTTGATAGGAGAAGAATGATCGCATTTTGAAATTTTGATGTATTTTAGAGTGGAAAATGGATTTTTCGATTAGAGATGCCCTAAGAGGACATAATTTTAAGTTCTACTATCATTTTTATGGAACTTCGCCCAAAGGCTATAAACTTGTTGCAAGTGCTAATGAGGGCAAGGGGATGGTTAAGCAATCCAATGAAAGCGATCTTGCTAAGATTGTTGTTACAAATCAAGATGTAGTTATATGCCTCTAAATGAATTCATATGAAGTAGTTTTTAACATCTACAGGTTGTGAGTTTTGGGGCTGCCACTAGAGCTCCTGAAGAATCCTTTGAAACAAGCATCTGTTACTAGCGGCAACATCCAGACCTAAATTACAATTAAAAAAGAGGTAAAGCTCAAGTATAAATGAATCACAAGAATGTTCTAACATTATTTGTAGAGGAAAGCATTGATATTGTGTTGCAAATTTGAATGTAATAGTTTTTTTTTTTTTTTTTTGCTTGAAAATAGTTACTAGTAAGTTATGAATGTTCTTATTAAAAAATAATCAATGAGTTTGTAAGAATTAAGTTTATAACATCGAGGAGGTAGTTTTAAGAGTTTGTTTTATTTTTATTTTGGTTGTTATCCTTGAGGAGAGGAGATTTAAAGGCCAAAAAGTGCAACATACTTAACATCAAAGAGTTAGAGTTGATTTTGATGAAATGCATGAGTCTCATGGTTGATGGCATACATTGATGTAGTTGGTGATGACATATAATAAAGTCAATTTAGATAAGCAACAATAGTCAAAAGGTTATAGCCATGCAACGGTTGTTGAAGGGTTATAGTTGGGCAATGAAGATCAGATGATTGTAATGGGGAAACAGTGGTTGGAGGATGTAGTGGGGCGGCGATGGTCAGAAGATTGTAGTCAGGCAAAGATAATTGAGGGATAATAGTCAGCCGACAATGCTTAAATGATCTAGGAGGGTAGCGTTGATTGAAGGATTATAGTCGACAGGTGGTGGTCGAATAATCGTATTTGGGTGATGGTAGTTGGAGCACGTAATCGGGCGGTGGCAATCAGATGACTTAGAATTTGCCTTTATATCCATCTAGATAGCCATCAAAATCATTTGCCTTAAACAGTTTCAAGATTTGGAAATGCCAAGTTGGGTAGCTGCGGCGGATATTCGATTGCATATTTGCATGTGCATGTTTTTTTATCTTTGTTTTAATGCTTGAATTTTTTTTATATATTTGTTAAAGAATGAACAAAAAAAAAAGCTTTGATCATTTTCAAATTTTTTCACTGAATTTTCACGCAATATTGAAAAGCTCAAGTTATTGGCTGTAAATTCAAAATCAATGAATAAATAATTTGATTCTTATTTCTTTTTTTTTTCTCAACTTTTCTGTATCCAAATTAATGTGTGGTTTGAAGGAATTAAATCGAAAAAATTGTTAAATAAGTTGAATTTATATTAGCTTTAATTCACTTATTTGTTTGAGAACAAATTTGGTGGAAAAGATTTCCTTTGTTTGGTTTCAACAAATGATTAATAAATTGAAGTGCAAAGAAAATTTAGATGTAAGCATATTTCATTTTGAACTGAATTTTTATTTGGTTTATGCAAAGAAATATAAAAAGAAGGTACATATAGTAGACTTTTGTTAACAAAACAAATTGTTAATGAAAGTGTTTATGGCACATATAACAAAACAAATTGTTAATGAAAGTATTTATGGCGCATCAAGGGAGGATGAATTGGTATTTAAAAAAAATGGCTTAAAATAAAAAACAAGATATTTGAAAGCAATTTAAGAGAATAAAGTATTCCAATGAAATCGCAAGCAAATAAGATTTTTTTTAGACTTTAGTAAACAAATATTTTTTCTTTTTATTTTTTAATTTCAAATGCAAAAACTTCAACCAACGATTTATCACCCAAATTTCTTCACAAGGATAAACAAAAGTAAACTAATAGATTTTTTCACCAAGATAATCAAAAGTAAACTAAAAAAAAAAATCTTCCACAAAGATACCAAAAGCATACCATAGCGGAAAAAATGAAATGCAAGAAAGTTATGAGTAAACAAATCAGATTTATAGTGGTTCGGTCAAAATCGACTTACGTCTATTATCCAAAGATCATCCTCTTTGGGTATTACATTAAAGTGACTCTCATTTAGCACACAACTTGGCGGTGATGCTTTTCTCCCTTGACCATGAGGATAATGGCATTTACAGACTCTGAAAAATCTCTCTCCTTTTGCATCCTGGTAAGGTGGAGATGCAATCCCTCTAACTCCTCGCTACGGCGGAGATGACGATCCCTCCTGTCACCTCTAAGCTCAGTGGAGATTTCATCCCTCCTTTAGCTCCTCGCTTCGGAGGAGATGCTTATCCCTCCTTTTGCCTCTTGACCCGACGGAGATGCTCAACTAACAAGCCTTTTGCACCAAAAACTCTTATTCTTATAACTCCATCAAAACACAATACGAGGACCCAAGGTGCAAGCTAGTCGCAGCAA